GCTTTCTTCAATGCTCATGGCAGAATCCTGGCAACATGGGGCCAGCTGGTTTCTCACCGCCAGAAAGCTGGTGGAGGGCTTGGACAGATACGTACATGCGTGTCCCTCCTCCCCTCCGCAAGGGTGCGTACACGTGGAAAAAAGTGGGCTTTCAGGCAGATGCTGAGATCTGCAGGCTGGGAGTCAGTAGAGTACCACAGGGTCTGAAAAAGTGGAACGACAGGAGAGCCGCCCAAGGACACTGCCCCAGGCAGAGGGCTCTGACCATTCCTAGGCAGGGGAGGTTTAAAGCAAGTTTCCCAGAGGAGCCCAGAGGGGCTGGAGGAAACTGGGCCAGGCTAAAGAAGGAGGAAGGAAGGAAAGGTCTCTGCCTGAGGAAACTGCAAGGAGGGAGTCACTTACTTGGCCCTCTGATCTGGTGCCAGAATCCAGAGCTAGGCTCACAAGGAGGGAAAGACACTATGGTGAACTGGGTCAAAAACAGGGATGTGGCACCTTCAAAAGTGCCCTGCACGAGTCCAACGCATGTGTGATCAAATGGCCAATCTCATTGCCAAAACAAATGAATGAAAATGAGGCACCATTTTGTTGTTGGTAGTTTTGTTTTTGTTTTTGCCTATGAAATTAGCAAATAGCAAAGAATAAAAATTGGAATGACTTGAGCAATCTTTCTGGAAGATAATTTATTAATGAGTATCAAATGTATTAAAAATGCTCATACCCATTGACCCAGCAATTCCACTTTATTTATTTATTTATTTATTTAATCCTCACCAGAGGACATTTTTCCATTTTTGTTCAGATAGAGTGGGAGGGAGAGAGAGAGAGAAACATTGAGGTGAAAGGGATACATCGGGTGGCTGCTTCCCGCATGACCCCAACCAGGACCAGGGACGAATTGCAATCAAGGTTTTAGAGAGAAAGGAAGGGAGAGGGAGAGGGAGAGAGAGAAACATCGATGAGAGAGAACATCGATTGGCTGCCTCCTGCATGCCCCCCACTGGGGATTGGGCTCACAACCTGGGCATCGAACAGGTGACCTCTTGGTGCATGGGTTGACGCTCAACCACTGAGCCACACCAGCTGGGCTAAAGTTGTTCATTTATAGTGTGTTTCTTATAATATCCTCCAAATCCCTTCCAGGGGAGAGAGAGAGAGAGAGAGAGAGAGAGAGAGAGAGAGAGAAGACAAATGTCCAACATAGTGTAGAGGCTTGGTGCCCTGAAGTTGAGATGTACCTGTAGATGGAACAGCACACAGCTATTGAAGCCTATATGACTTAGGAAGATGTTTACAATATTATCACCATGTCAAAGTTTTTGAATCTGTATATAGTATTGTTCCCCCAGACAAATCTCTCTATAAAATATACAAATCCATGCATAAAAAAGCAACTGGAGAATATTATATCAAAAAGCAAATAATCTTTATCTTGGGGGGTTAGAAATACAGGTGATTTTTGTGTGTGTGCAATCAAGGGGATAAGTTTTCCACATTCTGCATTGATTATGTATTTTTGTAATTAGATAGCATATTATTTTTTTAAGTGAATAGACTGCTTACATCTAGAATTTTTCTTAAACAACCAGAAACAAAGGCTCTTGCATCATCTAGATTCTAGAAGTAAATTACTAGCTCTGTTTTCCTTCTGAGCTTTTCTTCATCAAAAGAGGCACATTTTTTTAGTCTCTTTCCTAGATAACATATCTGAGCAGGTGACCTTAAAATAAAACTAACCAAACCAAACAAAAAACAATATAATGCCAGGCAGCACTCTCTATCACCCCCTACTTCCACTCATGATAATTGCTGAGCTAGGCATCCTGGCCAACTGGGGATTTGCCTCCGTCTCAGCCGCTGCCTACTGAGTCATTCTATTGACCTGTAGATCCCCATTCTGCCATGGATACTCTTCTGAGCCCTCAGCTGGACTCGGTGCACCAAGCGAGTGGGAAATCCCTCGAGCGGTGTGCAAGGACAACACTGCCTCCACTCGCCAGCCCAGGTAGCCACAGAGCCCTAAAAACCTGCAGTGGGCTTAACATACCCACCAGGTCTAACCCTTCCATGAGCCCTTGCTCTCCCTCGGACACCAGGCAAAACCAGTTCTGTGGGGTGTCAGGCAGTGAGTCTTGTTGCATATCCATCCTGATCCCTGACCCAAAAAGCAGCGAAGTGCAAAGAGTTATTTATTCAAACTGCCATTTGATTATATTGAAACCCAGCTGCTGAACCCAGAGAGAACAGTCTTTACAGTGGATAGAAACTTCCTGTCAAGGACAGTTAATTTTAATTTTTCCACTGAGCTCAGCCTCAAAGTGAGGTTGATTGCTACTCAGCAAGATGGACTGCATTAGTGGAGCCTTTAATTGAGCGCAGATCTATATCCCAAAAGCATAATGTTTGTTGTATACATACTTTGAGACAAGAAGAAAAATGAAAAGCAGACCTTTCTAAGGAAAAATTGAAAGCAGAATGTGTTCCATAATCAGGATGGCAGCACCAAAGGCCAGCTGGGGGGGTCTTGGTTGAACTCCCCCTCTTTATGCCTCACTTCTAATGGGCTGTTGGCAAATGTTCCTAAAAGCTCAATCCCTGTGTTTAGCTCCCTCTTTCCCAGACACTGGACTCTATCATAGTTCCTCTTATGGCCAACAAAAAGCTCCAGGAAACCAGCGATTGAGGGGGCCTCCCTGAGGGGCCATGGCGCGTGCTTCTGCTGTAGGGATGTTGATCCATGTGGCATCCACTATGGCCACTTCTGTCCAAGCCCTTTCACCAGTGGCCTGAGATGAGCCCTCAGCTGAAGCACAATGCCACTGTCAGCCTCTCACTGTTATGGTTCCAGACCCTTGTCACCTCTTCCCGGAGCTGAAGGACTCGTCTTTGTGCTATTGAGAGACATGTCCTCTTTTTTGTTGTTGTTAATACTCACACAGGATTTTTCTATTGATTTTTAGAGAGGGTGGAAGAGAGAGAGGGATAGGGAGAGAGAGAAAAACGTTGACATGAGAGAGACACATAGATTAGTTGCCTCCTGTGTGCATCATGACCAGGGCCGAGATTCAAATCTGCAACCCAGGTACGTGCCCTTGACCAGGAATCAAACCTGAGACCCTTTGCGTTTGGGCCAACATTCTAACCACTGAGCACACCTGCCAGGGTGAGAGAGATATTCTCTTAAAGCCCAGATGGGATCACCCCTTCTCAAATACTACCAAAAGCTCACCTTGATCTCCAAATACAGATCCTGGTACCCAAGCACATCCATGATCAAATCCCATGCTTCCTCTCCAAAAGTCCTCTCATATCTTGTGCTCTGGCCAAACCAGTCCCCTCCTCCCTGCCCCCATTCCCAACCCATCAGCAATCTGCTTTGACAACTGTCTAGTCTAAACCACCTTTCTCTCTGGGCTGTACAACTGTGACAGCCTCCAGTTGAGCTCCCCGCTTCTATTTCCCCTCTCCAATCCATCTCCAATATATCAGCCAGATTGATCTTTTAAAAAGTAAACAATGCTCACCCCTTCCTTAAAATCATCTGTGGCATGTGGCATTGTACCACACTTAGAATAAAATCCAAATCCTTTCTCCTACTGCCTATAGGGCCTGCCATGACCCAGCCTCTGCCTACCTCCCAAATTCCTCTTGCATCACTCCTCCTCTCATCACCATAGCCACACTAGATTCCCTTCTGTTCTTAGCACTTGCTGTTCACTTTACCTGAATAAATAATTTTCCTCCAATCCTTTCCCTACCTACCTCCTTCTCATTCCTCAGTCTTCGCTGAAATGCCACCTCTCTGCAAAGGTCATCCCTGATCACCTTACCTGGGGCAAGACCACAGTTGTTCTACATGGCTCTTACTGCTATCTGACATTCTCTTGTGTATTCATTGTTGTTCATTTGCTACCCCCACTGGAATCTAAGCTTCCTGAGGGACTCTGACTAATCTGTTCATTGCTGCATCATCAGCACCCAGGACAATGCCTGGCACACAGTAGAATCTAAATCATTATTTGGGGATGAATGATTGAATACAGGAAATAATAAACATTTCCTGAGAGGCCTTCATTATCTCCAGCCTCCATTCCTTATATTGTATTATCTTCTTGGCTTGGCATGCCCTTGCCTACCTCTTCCCCGCCACTGCCAAGGACCTACGTTTGAAGTAAGGCAGGCTCGAAAGCCCCTCTCCCAGAAAGTCTCCCCTGAACCCTCTAGGCAGAAATAATCCCTGCTTCCTCCGCCCCATGTCCAAGGCCTTCAACATGACTTCCCCTGTTCCTGGAAATTCTTGCCTAGAAAGATAAAGCTGTAAACCAGAACATAACTTCACTGTTGGCTTCAGGGACGTCCCAAAGTCAATTCAAACAAGACTGCTCAGATAGCTCTCCTTCCCAGAGCAGGGCTTTGCCCAACTAGGCAATGATTCAGTTATCAAAGCAAGAGTCTTTGCATTGTGTTCACTAATCCCGTGAACATCAATGTCAGGAATTTTGCCCAATCCCAATCAAATCCTGCATTAAAAGACCTGTCTTAACCCGTTCATTAGAGCCCCAACCTCCAAACCCTATAAACAGCCAGAGGATTCAGAGCAGGGGCTGCTTCCGCAGCTCTGTGAAGGTGGCCCTCTGCCCCACATTCAGCTCTGCTTGATGAGCAGGTATCTGGAGGTCTGTGGGAGGGATTTGGCTGGTGATAGCCCTCTCCTGCGACCACCAGTGTCCAGCACCAAGCTCCTCTGTATTTGGTAAATGATGAATGAACGCACAAGTGAAGAGCTCCCTACCCCACTCTCCAGCCCCTTCCCTTCTCGAAGCATCTTAGCCAGAAACAACAAATGACACAGGTGCCCAAGAGTCAACAAGAGCAGGGCTTTGTTCTAAGGAAGTCCTCCATGACTAGGCCGTGTTCTGGAAGCCAGGATCGGCTGCAGAAACCAGTGGGCGTTCCCCTCGTCCCCCCACAGCCGACCGGCCTCTCTCCTTTGCGTCCAGGGCTACGGCGCTGGACCGCTACAGCCTGCAGAAGGCGGGCTTCACGCACGTGCTGAACGCCGCCCACGGCCGCCGGAACGTGGACACGGGGCCCGACTACTACCGCGGCATGGCCATCGAGTACCATGGGGTGGAGGCCGACGACGTGCCCACCTTCGACCTCAGCGGCTTCTTCTACTCCGCGGCCGCCTTCATCCACGCTGCGCTCCACTCCGATCACAGTAAGAGGCCTGCAGCCCACTAGCGGCCCCGCCCCCAGCCAGAGGCCCCGCCCCGCCCGTGGTCCCGCCCCTCGCGCCGCGGGAAGAGGGATCTGTGCCCTCTGAGTTCACTCCCCTGTCAAAGCCGACCCTGCGAGGGGTCCACGTGGCTGAGCTGGAAATGAGCGTTCTGCTGGTGGAGTTAGGGCTTTGATCGAATCGGCATCCGGAGGGTTCAGAGGAGAGGCCTTTGGCCTGAAGCTCTCTTCCCTAAGGCACACCAGCCATCCTTCCAAAGGCAGGCTGGTCTGGGAACCCTCAGAGCTGGGATGCACCGGAGACACTAATTGTGCCTGTGCCCAAACCTGACTAATAGTCAAGGGTTTCCATGCCAGAAAACCCTCAGGCATCTGACTTGAGTGGAATATCTGTGGAAGGACGTCAAACTCTGCCAACCAACCAAACCCACAGCCTCCATCCTCCCTCTCTCCCTCTCTCCCTCAATAACACTCAGTCTAGTGAGGCCTCCTGTAGAAAGCTGACAACCCAGCCTTTGTAAGTTGGCAAACTATATTTGAGACTGAGTTTTGCACCTGTGATGTCCAAGTTTCCCAAGGTTAATTATCCATCTTTTAAACCACGTGCTAGTCCTTATGCTCAAAATGCAGTTGTAGCTGCCCTAATCCAGGGAAAGGCTACAGGCCCATTTTGGAGAAAAGAACACACTTTGAGGCAGGGGCAGGTAAGACAGTATGAGTTACTGCTGCGGTGTGTGTTTCAGCGGATTCCGCAGAGGCCAGACTTCACCTTCCTAATCTGTGCTCTGGCTTCAGCCCCATGTGTCACAACTCGTTTCGGGACCATCACATAATTCAGGGTATCTAGTTTCAGTAGTCCCCCCCTATTTGCAGTTTCACTTTCCCTAGTTTCAGTTACCTGCAGTCAACCAAGGTCTGAAAATATTAACTGGAAAATTCCAGAAATAAACAATTCACAAGTTTCAAATTGCACCCCATTCTGAGTAACGTAATGAAATCTCACAGTGTCTCGACCCATCTCGTCAGGGACATGAATCATCCCTTTGTTCAGCATATCCACACTGTACACGCTCCCTGCCCATTAGTCACTTAGTAGCCGTCTCAGTTATCAGATCGACTGTCTCCATATCGCAGTGCTTGAGTTCAAGTAACCTTTATTTTACTTAATGGCCCCAAAGTGCAAGAGTAGTGATGCTGGCAATTCAGATACACCAAAGAGAAACTGTAAGTGAAAAGGTGAAAGTTCTTAAGTTAATAGGGAAAGAAAAAAAAAAATGTATGCTGAGTGAGGTTTCTAAGATCTTACTGTGAAGGAATCTTCCATCTGTGAAATTGTGAAGAAGGAAGAAGAAATCTGTGCTAGTTTTGCTGCCACACCTTAAACTGTAAAAGTTATAGTCATAGTGCATGATAAGCTTAGTTAAGAGGGAAAAAGCATTCGATTTGTGGGTGGAAGACAGAACAGAAAATGTGTTCTGATTGATGGCAATCTGTTGCATCAGAAAGCATTGAGCCAATACGAAGATTTCAGCAAGGGATCCCCTGAAATGAGTGACACCAACCCATTTACTGCAAGTAAGAGATGGTTAAACAGATTTAGAAGTAGGTTGGACTAAAAAATATAAAACTTACTGGAGAGGCTGCGCCTGCCAATAAAGCAGCTGCTGCCACATTTCCAGCCGAGTTGAAGAAGTCGATCAGGTTCAGTACTGTCTGTGGTTTCAGGCATCCCCTGGGGGTTGAGGGACATAACCTCCACGGATAAGGGGGGACTACTATACTGAAAGCCTTTCTTACCGTAAGAGGTTGGGATTATAAGGCTCACTGACTGACCGACTGGCCTGCTTCAGGAACTTGCAGCCTGTGGCTAGGCCTGGGCTATGCCTGCCGAACAGTCCCAGACCTTGATGGCTGTCCCAAGGTGGACCTGGCCGCACAGCCAGCCACAGGCACCAACGATTTGTCATTATTTTGGTTCACAAGCAATGTCACGATGAAGAAGAAACCCATGGAGCTGAAGAGCTTGTATTCAGGGATGCCTCATTTCAAAGTCGTTCTTTTATGAGTCTATTTATGGGCCATATTTTGTGTCGTGCACATTCTGGGTTTCCAAGCAGGATCAAAAAGCACTGGACTCTGACTCATCACCACGAGGTAGAATTTGCCTCAGAGTATTTGAAGTTAACTAGAAACATATTTGACGTGAAAAAAACAGAAAGCTCCAGTACAACCACCCAATCCTTCAGTTTCACTTGCCATTACTGTATCTTTGGTCTTCCCCTTAATGGAAGGGGTCTGGCAGGCTTTGGAGAAGACAGGGCTGGGTTCAAATTCACAATTTACTAACAATGTGATTTCTCTGAGCCTTGGTTTCTCCATCTGGTGATAAAACTATTTACCTTGAAAGTTATAATGAGGCTCAGCAGTAACAGACATGAAGCACTTAGCACAGACCCTGGTGCGCAGCAGGCTCTCAGATGTGTTTGATAAAGAGAGGTCATGCACCGTGAAACACACAACCACACCAGCACATGTACATCATCATCATAAAGTTTCCAATCCCCAAAGAAAAGAAGACATTCCAACTTTGAACTAGTATGATATACTCACATGACAGCTTGTTTTTGGTTCCTGGCACGTGATTTCAGAGTCTGCCTGCACTGCCAAATCAGGAAGGAACTTTCAAGTCCTGGTTAGGCCTGAGCAGATCACAGAGCTTCGTTGTGGAGATGCCAGGCTGGTGTGGACAGTGACTGGTAGACCAGGTGATTGAAAGCACCTAGCAAAGAAAGGGTCAAGAGGAAAAAGTATATACCCAGGTCAGAGAGTGCAGGGTTGGGGACTAGACCAGTTGGCTGGGGATGGGGATCAGGACATGACCGCATTGCCAGGTGGGAGGTTGGGCTCCCTTCCCAGTGCCCTGTGCGCTCACATATTTAAAGACTTCCTTGAGTTGAGGGCTCAAAGGCAGAACCCTTCAGGACCATGCAGGGAGCAGGAATGAAGGAAGCTGGCTGCGTGTAAGGCGGCGGGGTGTGGTTGGGGGTGCTTGTGGCTAAGTGGAGAGCTCATATCCCCTCCAAAGGGGGCAGCTGCTACTCAGTCCCAGCCAATGATTGTTTTGTGAAAACCAGTGCAAATGTGGTAGATCCGACTTTTCAGGAAATGTCTCCGATCTGGATTTTAACGTAAAATCACTCCATTTTTAAGTGTTGGCAACAAATGAAAATTTTCTTAAAATCCTGCAAAGGCCAAACAAAAGAAACCCACTGGCTGGCTGTAACCTGCGCCCTGAGTAGTCAAAGCAACAAAATGAAATGCTGGTTAGCTCGGCAACAGCACTGTCGTAGATTCCAAACAGTGGAGACGGCACGAGCTCGGCCTGGAGACCAGGGGACACGACCAGAGCATCTCAGAGCCAGGCCCACTCGTATGTTTCTTATTATACTCTTGATGTAAGAGGTGTTGATGGACAGTCTGGCCAAAAGGCAAGACGTCTCTCCCCTCTCCCGCCTTTCCTCCTCTTCCTTGGCTGGTTCCCGCCAAGTACACACTGTTTCGCACTGCTGCCCTCACAGCTCGTCTTGTTCACTCTTTTTTTTTTTTTTTTTTCTTTATTGATTTTAGAGAGAGAGGAAGGGAGAGGGAAAAGGAGAGGGATGGAAACATCAATGAGAGAGAACATTGACCAGCTGCCTCCTGCATGCCTCCCACTGGGGATCGGTCAAAACCTGGGCATGTGCCCTGACCAGGAATTGAACCGGCGACCTCTTGGTGCCTGGGTCTATGTTCAGCCACTGAGCCACACCGGCTGGGCTCATCTTGTTCGCTCTTTATGAAAAGCATTATTTGTGGAGCTGTGGAGCCGTACCTGTGGTCTTTAACCAGCCTCATGGCGCCCACCCCTCCCCGTCCCCTACCCCGATTTGCCCTTTCTGAAAGAACTCCCCAGGAAACCTTAGTCACACTTGAACACTCTTAGCCCAGTGTCCTGCCCCGAGAGCTGGGGATACAGGGGCCCAGAGAAGCCAAGTGATGTGCCCAGGGTCCCAGAGCTCACCAGAGACCAGTGGGAATTCCCTCTGTCACGCAGGCCTCGCCGCAGGATCCTTTGCCCTTATTTTGAGCATCTGGTGACTTTGTTGTGTAAAAAGTCACCAAATATTATGGAAGGTGAGGCATTCCAGCTGGTTATAGGATCTGAAAAAACTGAACTTGTCGTTCTTCATCAGGAAAACAGCACTGACAACGCTGCCATGGGAACCGCGTTTGGACTGCCTTAACCGCTCCTGGCGCGCGTCCGCAGGGTTGCGCTGGTGTGGTTTTAATTTAATGAAATCTTCTAAAAAATCTCAGGGCAGAAACCATGCTGTAAAGATCAGATCTTAGTATCACCACTCTCTTTTCCTTCTTCTTCTTCTTTTTTTCTTGAACAAACCGTCCACAGCCGGCTTTTGAAGCCATCGTAAAATCTATTATAGATCAGTAGGTCTGAAGAACTAAATGAAGTCTGCTTTTGAGCAGGAGGTTGATTCTCCTCCGCTGCTTCTGAGCTCTAACCAGGTCAGGTCTTCAGGGTGTCTTCAGGGTCTTCGGTCCCACGGCAGCACGCACAGGCCTGCCGCTCAGCAGTTCCAGACACACCGTGCCCCTCTTTCTGAGGCCTCAGCGTGAGCTCTGGCTTTGCTGGCAGCTCAGGAGGAAAGTTCCGAGGTACTGAGCGAGGGAAAGGCAAAGGGCATCCCCCAAACCAAGGAAGGAGGTTGTTTAGAGAGTGCACGCCTGGTGGGTGTGAGGGCCGTGGAGGTGAGGGGCTGTGGGGATGGGGGCTTGACCTAGAGACCTGTTTTGAGTGACAGAGGCCTTCCTTCTGGTCCGAAGTGAAAATAAGCAATTGGGAAGCTGTAGATTCTTCATAAGATTGTTGGAATTCAACTTTTGGTAAAGATCTAAAGTGAAATATTTCATTGAAATCATCACTTTTCAAACATAGATTTGTGAGTCATACAAACAATTTAGTGGGTTCAACCAGTATTTTTTTTTTTAATTGAACAGGTTGGAAAAGAATAGAAATGTCAGCAGGCACTGCACGTGAAAAAGCACGCATTCTTTTGTGAAACCTTGTCTGTGCACACATACTTGTGATGCCACATAGCGTTCGGAGCTTTGACCCCGGTGTCCGGCGGCCTGGACTTGAATCACAGTTCTGCCACTTCCTAGCTGTGCCACTTGGACACGTCACTTCTCTGCACTTAGCTAGCTGCTCCGAAAGATGGGGACAGTCACGTAATCTACCTCGTCAGGTTGTGAGGAGTGACTACAATAAAAATACATAGCGACATACTTGGAAGATGCGGCGAGAGGTGAGGCTATGTATGTGTCAGCTGAGAATTTTATATAGTGTTTCCAGGAGCCACACAAAAAAGTCTGCGAGCCGCTGATCTAGAAAGTGCCAACCCTGATAACGCTGCCTTCGCTCGGCCCTGACCCTGGCTGGTGTGTAGCTACTTTCTGAGGCTGGGCCAGGCCCAGCAGGCCATCTGCAGCTGCCTTGCCTTCTCTTCCACCCACTCCCGAGCCGGGCCCAACGGGAGGTGCTCAGCAGAGCCGCGGAGCAGAGAGGGAGCAGTGCCCGGAGCCGGGGGCCAGGCCCTGTACCCCCGGGAGCCTCCCAGCTCACTTGGCTGATGGCATTGGTGCCGCCGCAATAACAACATTTAGTTCCAGGAGCTGCTGCTGGCCCGAGCACCCCCCCCCCCTCCTCTCCCATCTCCTCCATCTCCCTTCCCCTTTCTCCCACTTCACAGACTTCAGGCTCCCAAAAGACTTAATGAACTACAGCTTTCGCCTGTTTCGAGCACTTAGTCATGACAGAAGGAATTACCCTTTTTGCCAGGAGAGGAAGAAAGGCTTTAGTTATCAGCAGAGCTGGCAAGGGGCCAGGCAGTCTCCGGAACAGTGTGCGGGGATGAGGGTGCCAGAGGGAGCCGGTCCACTCCAGGAGCACAGTCAGCTGGGGCCAGGCCCTGCACCCAGCCTGGCAACCAAGAAGCCGGCCCTGCTTCTTGCCTCCTTTCTGACCGAAGTGCACAAGGCGAAGGCGGGGCCACACTCCTGAGCTCGGCAACCCGAAGGATGGGATTGGAGGGCCGCCTGGTTAGCTTGTGGGGACTCGGGGAAATGAACTGAGATGACGTGAACAGCTCTTCGTGGGACACCGTTCCCCACGCCCACTGTGTGGGGCCATCAGTAGGGTCCTTACTGTTGGGCAGGGTGTGCAGGCCTCTCCATTCGGCCAGGGTGGGTGGGGAGAGAGAAGCCTGGTGCCTGGTGTGCAAGGCCTCGGGGACCTTATGCTGCCATGGCTGCTGAGCATCACCACTGTCCTGGACATGGTCCCCTGAGGAAGGTGAGGGGGACACGGAGAGCCACATCTACTCCTAAGTGTTCTTTCCCAGCTGGTCTCATACCCTGCCGATGCTCCAGAAACCCAGGGATGTTCCCGAGTGTCTTCTTGGTCATCCTTCCGGGCCTCAGGCCCGAGACTCAGGAACAGGGACAGCATTGAGGTCACACAGCTTGAGCTGCCTCAGCGAGCTCAGTCTCAGCAGAGCCATCACACGACCAGGAGAGGGTGGCAGTAGTGGTCATGGTGGGTACAGCCAGAGAGCCTAACCTCATTATTTTCTCTGTCCCAGGAGCATAATGGCCAGTGTCCAGCACACAGTAGGGCCTCAATAACATGCTGCTTGAACGATTGCTAGTGCTGGCGCCAGCTTCCTGGGCGACCTCTGCAAGGCACTTCACCCCTCTGAGCTTGTTTGCTCAGCAGGGATGATGATAATGAAATCTTGAAGGTTGTATTAAGAATGAAATAACACGCACTGATGCTCACTATGTGAGCTCTAGAGCGCCTCCAAATGGAGGATGAGAAAACAGCTTCATATCAAGTCTTCACTGGGCCCAGATATTGCCATGGTAGTTAATGGCCAAAGGGAGCTTTGCTTATGTGGGTTATATCTATCACTATTTACCCTATTAGAAAGAAATACTGAAAATTTTAATACTTATTCATTTAAAAATAATAAAATACACCACTGCATATAACAATATATTTTTATGAAAAATTATATTTTCCAAATACAGTTAGGGAGAGGGTGGCATTAATTTACATTGTTGCAGATCTCTTCAATGTTAGGTTTATCAGAATCCAGTTGGAGTCTCATTAACTTCTGCATTCAGTCTGTTGTGGATATTGTTTTGGTTGATGTAGATGAAGAAAATCCAACCTCACTCGGCGATGTAGTTGGAGAAAGGAGGAATACTCTAATAGCCTTTTTTGATAATTGTGGCTATTCTTCAATACTATACCCACAACTGACAAATGATAGCTTCTTAAAGACTAGTTGTGATGTGGACCCTGAAGCCATATCAGTAAACTTCATACTCATTACATCATTACATCAAACTTCATTACATCAAATCCAATGGTCTGTCTTGCACTGCAAATGAATTTTTTGACCCATGCATGATTCTGTAATATCTTGTATTGGTTATTAGGAAAATATTGGTTTACTAAGTTATGCAGATACTTCAAATGTTGACACTTTCACTGTAGATTATCAAAAAACACATTGGTTAATTCCATCACTCATCTTAACAGAAAAAGCTTCAAAGTATTGAGAAACTGTCAACTTCATGGTGATAGATTCACGTTTTCCAAAACTCTAATTTTTGCTCAAAAGCTTGCATTTTTTCATTGGCAATAACTACCATCCGTTGTTTTCTTTGACGTGGTAGACAGATTTTGTTCACTTTTTAGAAAAAGTCTGCCAAATACCCAAGTTTGAATTACCATAGTTTTTCTGTCATTCATTCTTATAAGTAAAAATGGCGTCTCCAGAAACTGGCTAATTCAACTTGCAACTCAAGTCTCCCTCCTGCTTTTCCTGAGATACCATCACTTCGGTCTGCACCCCAGGGGCTTTACGGGAACATCCCATGTCATCACACAGAATATTAAGAAGTGTAACCAAGGGCTGCACGGTGGTGAAGAATGCAATGATTACTCTCATCCAGTGTGGTGCCTCTTCTCCCCACTCCATTTCAGATAAGATCCTGGTTCACTGCGCCATGGGCCGCAGCCGGTCGGCGACCCTGGTCCTGGCATACCTGATGATCCACAGGAACATGACCCTGGTGGACGCCATTCAACAAGTGGCCAAGAACCGCTGTGTCCTACCCAATCGGGGCTTTCTGAAGCAGCTCCGGGAACTGGACAAGCAGCTGGTGCAGCAGAGGCGACAGGCCCAGCACAGCAACGACAGTAAGAAGGCGCTGTCGGCCCCTGGGGCAGCAGGCACACTTGGGAATGGAGAGGGAAGGCTGAAATAGCTTTGGCCTGTGGCTGTTTGTCCTGGAGAAGGGACAGTGAAACCAAAGCTTGAGTTCTTCCGAATCATCTGAAACTTCCTGGGAGTGTGCTGATGAACAGGGAGGGTTCAAGGCTGCTCCTGGACGAGTCAGTACTTGGCTTCCCAGCAGAACCGGGGACAGATGAATACACAGTTCCGCAGAAAGGCGCCTGTTTTTGTTGTTGTTTTTAATATAAGATGGGGACAGAAAAGGATTTTAAAATGTGTAGGCATTGTGTTGTAATTAAATGTTTGACTTTGTCTGAAAGTCACGTTCTTTTTTTTTTTTTTTTTTTTTTTTATCCTCACCCGAGGATATTTTTTCCATTTTTGGTACAGATAGAATGGGAGGGAGAGAGAGAGGAAGGGAGAGAGAGTGAGAAACATCGACGTGAAGGGACACATCGAGTGGCTGCCACCCGCACGACCAACCAGGGCCGGGGACAAACTGCAACCAAGGTACATGCCCTTAGCGGGAACCGAACCCGGGTCTCTCCAGACCGCAGGCCGACGCTCTAACCGCTGAGCCAAACCGGCCAGGGCTGAAAGTCACGTTCTTAAAAAACAATTTTAAAATAGAAATGTATTTTCTAACCACAGAGAGTGCCTAGGAGTGCTGTGCCAGGAGTTTCCGCAGTGTACCGTGGGCGCCTTTCCCAGGCGCTGATGTCCCCTCTGCCTCCCGCACCCTCTCTGCCTCCCGCATCCTGCCTCCCGCATCCTCTCTGCCTCCCGCGCCCTCACTGCCTTCCGCATCCTCTCTGTCTCCCGCTCCCTCTCTGCCTCCCGCATCCTGCCTCCCGCATCCTCTCTGCCTCCCGCGCCCTCTCTGCCTCCCGCATCCTCTCTGCCTCCCGCGCCCTCTCTGCCTCCCGCATCCTGCCTCCCGCATCCTCTCTGCCTCCCGCGCCCTCACTGCCTTCCGCTCCCTCTCTGCCTCCCGCATCCTGCCTCCCGCATCCTCTCTGCCTCCCGCATCCTGCCTCCTGCATCCTCTCTGCCTCCCGCCCCCTCTCTGCCTCCCGCGCCCTCTCTGCCTCCCGCATCCTCTCTGCCTCCCGCGCCCTCTCTGCCTCCCGCATCCTCTCTGCCTCCCGCGCCCTCTCTGCCTCCCGCATCCTCTCTGCCTCCCGCGCCCTCTCTGCCTCCCGCATCCTCTCTGCCGGGAGCTCCAGACTCAAGTCCCCCGTAGATGCTGCTACTCATTCAGCAGGGGTGGGGAGCAGGGGTCCTGCGCCCTTCACAGAGGCCCTGCTTTAGGCTCCCCCACCTTCCTCAGGGAGCCAGGGCTTTTCAAATTTTTAGCCAGCACTGCCACTACCCAGAAAAAGTCAATAAATTGTGGTAAATTTGCACAAGAATTTGACTTTGTAATTTTGGAGAAGAGGGAGGAGACACTTTTAGGAAACAAGGAGCCCCTGTCATTTTGATTCTTGTTTTTAGTCATACCAGAAGAATTTGCAAATGTATTTGCTCTGGAATAGGAGAATCAGGCGTCCAGGCGAGCTCAGGTGGGGAGTCCCCCTTCCTTGAGAGTTAAGCCAGTCACCATGATTCTGATGTTCGTTCTTGAGGAGAGGACAGCAGCAGGCATCAAGCGGGTAGAGGTGGCTTCTGGAACCAGGACCATAAACCAGAGAGAACCCAGAGACAGATACTGGTGACAGTGCTGACGGTCAAGGACCAAAAACCAAAACTGCCCAGAGAAAGCAGAGTGTGGTAAAGGCCTGTGGCAAAATGTGAAGAGGTGCTCAGTTCTCCAATTTGGTTGTAGTTTTCAGCAGAATGAAAAAGAAAGTTCCTGATGGAGGAAGGACAGTGTCCAGGGGCTCAGCAGCTGTGCAAGGCACCCAAGGGTAACCCTGTGGCTGCTGGCAAGTTGCCCTGCTCTGGTGCTGGGGGAGAACTTGGGCCTGGGCTCTGTGGCAGGCTTGGCTTCCCGGAACTGCCCAGGGTTTACTCTGGGTGAGTGACCTTGGCCTAAGAATTGGGTCCTCACAATGACTCAGATTTGGGTGTGATGGGAGCCATATACAGGCTCTTGGAAGAGATAGACACCAAAAAGGACTCTAGGATCACAGTGGCCCCTACTCAGACTTTTCCATCACAGGATCCTAATAATTCCCTAAAAACTCATTTATCTCCCAGGTCTGCTCTATTCCTTGTCCAGAGAGAAATCAGTATTTTTATTTAAATCTTTACTTTTAAATGAATCTATGTACAGAAAGTATGGGACACCTGCAATTCCACTGCTGAGTCCTTCCACCTTCCCACGTGCTCCACCTCTCTGCGGGCTGAGCCCTCTGAGGACGGCAGAGCAGGGCACTTTCAAGCTGGAGTCTGGTCTCGTCAAGATGGCGCCTGGGCGCTGAGGTAGGAGAAAGGAGGATCAGGTTTTGCAAAAGTGTTTCAAGTCTTCAGAAGTAAAACATTCATTCAGTCAGCAAGTATTATTGAGAGCCTACCGCATGCCAAAGAGTGGGGTTAGGAGGCCAAAAGAAAAAACTAAAATGCACGTTATGATCAAGTGCCATGAGGAGGCAAGGTGAGCAACTGGACACGGGGTTGGAGGGAAACCCCCTCTAGCCAGGGTTCCTGAAGACCTCTCCGAGGAGCCTGGGGTGAGCACAGTCTTGAAGGAGCACACTTTACCCATGGGGAGGGAACATTCTAGGCTGAGGAACAGCACAAGTGAAGTGTAGCAAAGAAGTGTGTTTTGAGGAAACACACCCCAAGGTGCGTCTGCAGAACTGCCCATCTGTGAAGCCAGAGCGCGTGGGGGAGGTGCGGCGTGGAAGGGGAGAGGCAGGAAGGCTAGGTTTCATTCCAAGTACGAAGGAAAAACGATTGAAGGTTTTTAAGCAAGGGAATGGCATTTTCTGTTTTAAGGAAATCACTCTGGGAAAAAAACACTATGGCTGAAGTATGGAAAATGGATGGTAGGGAGTTAAGGAGGCAAGAAGACCAGTTAGGAGGCTGTTGGCACGTTGATAGAGGAAGGTGACCTGGACTGAGGCGCGCCAAGGGCCTACTACCCGATTATTTTGGAATTATCCTGGAGAATCCGCAGACCCTGGTTTCCAACAGAATGAAAGTTCCTGATGGAGGAAGGACAGTGTCCAGGGGCTCAGCAGCTGTGCAAGGCACCCAAGGGTAACCCTGTGGCTGTTGGCAAGTTGCCCTGCTCTGGTGCTGGGGGAGAACTTGGGCCTGGGCTCTGTGGCTGGTTCGGCTTCCCAGAACTGCCCAGGGTTTACTCTGGGTGAGTGAGAAATGGAGGGAGGGAGAAATGAAAGGTATCAATTCCGTTTCTTGGTGGTGCCTTAACACTGAGCTAGGGTTGACAGGGCAGAAATGGGGCAGGGGGCTGAAGATCACCATCTGTTTGTTAAGACATACAAAAGGTGCCCGTCCTTTGACCTTGGATCTAGAGAGAGCTCACACTGGAGATGTAATTGTAGGTGTCACGTGCATAGAGGGGGAATATGAAGCTGCTGTACTGCATGAGATGAGAGGAGACAGGGAGCCCCAGGAAAGGGGACAGCCGGGAGAAGGAAAAGCAGGAGTGTGGAATTATGGAAGCCTGGGTACAAAGAAATTGAAGACTGCTTCATAATATGACTGTGCCTGTAAGCTAAGTATTGACTGTAGACCAACACTTGCTTGTAACAAAGTAACCTGTATTTGTACAGCACTTAATAGTTTTTAAAGTGCTATATGTTTATTAGCTAAGCCTTTAAGTCAGAGAGATGACAAGTTAGTCTTTTCGCAGAATCAAGTGCTGTAGGAAAAAGCTGAGTTTCAGAGAGAACTGGGTTTGTTGAGCCTCAGTCTGTAAATTGAAGACAAAAGCCCCATTTCCTGCACGGGGTGTGTGTGGGTCACATGGGAGGGCTGTTTGTGAGAGAGCTCTGTAACATATTGATTCGCTGTATCTGAAACAGAATGTTGGCAAGGAAGAGCGATGCCTTCACACCTGGGCAGGCACTACCTGACCTATTGAAAAATACAGGTTTGCAACTGACAACCACTTCAGGAAGAACACATCACTGGGTTTAAAAGACCTGGACTGTTAATGAATCTCAGCCTGATGGCGACATTTCCATCCTGATAAATCCAGGTTCGTTTTCCAGGCTCCTTGGGGTCACAATGCAGTCTGAGCTGATTTCTTTAGAGAGTGGGTCAGTGAGGGGTAGTGTTCAGGATGTCCTGGGGCCACCTCAGATCAGCAGTTTAGGTCCCACACCACGCCCTTCTGTTCTGTCAATGAGTGCAGGGACTTGGGGTCATGGTACCTGGCTATGCCATACTCCCTAGTGAGCTGCGAAATACAGGAGTCCCAGTCCTGGTCTTAGATTCTGGTCTGGCAGATCCGGGACTTGTCCACAAGCTCCCTGTAGGACTGAGGCAGGCACAGTGTGTTTGTGTGTGTCTGGGGGACATGGAACTCAGGTATCCACAGACCGTAGGGTGTTACTAGCAAGCCACTGCCAAAGGTGGGGAGTTCTGCGTGGCTTCCGATCAGATCGTCAGCAGGCCCCCCACCACCTCCCAGGCTCAGGCAGCCTCTGGCCTGATGTGTGGACTCACTGAGCTGCTAAGGTCCTTGATTGCTCCCGAAATGACACAGCCATTGAGTCAAGCAAGCAGCACAGTCAGCTCCCACTCTGCAGGTGGATTAGGTTTCCTTTCCTACCAGCACAGCATCTGGAAGGTTCTCTTCTCCCTTCGTGATGACAGCCCCTGCGGAAGTGGTTTTTGGAAACCCTCCCTCAGCTACTACAGATTTTCCCCTGTTGACTGTGCAGTTGTGGAGGGAAGGGGCCAAAACATAGACTCTTGACACCAAGCCCAGAATGCTGTGGAGCGAGGGGGAAACAAGGGACACCCTGCGCAGCCTCCCTCCGAGGGGCCTGACTCCGGGGTGTGCGCACCCTCCTGCCTTCCCAGAGTTTTATTCTGAGTCTACTTCATTTTTTCCCCCACTTTTTTGGATTTTTAAAAATCTTGATTGTTGTAAGTATTACAGATTTCCTCCTTTTAACCCCCATTGGCCCCTCCTCCTTCTGAGTCTACTTTCCAGCCTGTGATCTGCACAGCGCCTGGGAAAGCAGCTTCCTCCTGAGGCACAGATGTCGTGACTGGCGCCAGGGGGCTGTGAGCGCC